TACAGGACATAGGAGATGATGGGGGCCTCAACTTGGACATCGTCTCCACACATGCAGGATCAACAAATTAAGGTTAGTAAACTTTTATTTTGAGGAGAAAGGTAAATTGAACTGAATTTAATCTTGTTTTAATTCTTTTTACAGGAAAATGGAAGATGATGAGGGCCCCCTCTTGGAAATAGACTCTACACATGCAGGATCAACAAATTAAGGTTAGTGGCCTTTTATTTTGAGGAGGAAGGTAAATTGAACTGAATCTAATCTTGTTTTTATTTCTTTTTACAGGACAAAGGAGATGTTGAGGGCCTCCACTTGGACATCGTCTCCACACATGCAGGATCAACAAATTAAGGTTAGTAAACTTTTATTTTGGTTAGAAAGGTAAATTTAACTAAATCTTATCTTGTTTTTCTTTCTTTTTACAGGACAAAGGAGATGATGAGGGCCTCCACTTGGACATCGTCTCCACACATGCAGGATCAACAAATTAAGGTTAGTTAACTTTTATTTTGAGGAGAAAGGTAAATTGAACAAAATCTAATCTTGTTTTAATTTCTTTTTACAGGACATAGAAGATGATGGGGGGCTCCACTTGGAAATAGACTACAATGGGCGGATCAACGACTTACGGTTAGTAAACTTTTTTCTTTTGGGGGAGTGTAGGTAAATTTAAAAAAATCTAATCTTGTTTTTCTTTCTTTTTACAGGGCATAGAAGATGATGAGGGCCTCCACTTGGAAATAGACTACAATGGGCAGATCAACAAAATAAGGTAAGTAATTTTTTTTTCTTTTGGGGGGAGTGTAGGTAAATTTAAAAAATCTAATCTTGTTTTTCTTTCTTTTTACAGGACATAGGAGATGATGGGGGCCTCAACTTGCACACCGTCTCAACACATGCAGGATCAACAAATTAAGGTTAGAAAAGTTTTATTTTAACGGGGAAGGTAAATTGAACAAAATCTAATCTTGTTTTTATTTCTTTTTACAGGACATAGAAGATGATGAGTGCCCCCTCTTGGAAATAGACTACAATGGGCGGATCAACGACTTACGGTTAGTAAACTTTTTTCTTTTGGGGGAGTGTAGGTAAATTTTATAAAATCTAATCTTGTTTTTATTTCTTTTAACAGGACATACAAGATGATGAGGGCCTCCACTTGGACATCGTCTCAACACATGCAGTATCAACAAATAAAGGTTAGTAAACTTTTATTTTGAGGAGAAAGGTAAATTGAACAAATTCTAATCTTGTTTTTATTTCTTTTTACAGGACATAGAAGATTATGAGGGCCTCCACTTGGACATCGTCTCCACACATGCAGGATCAACAAATTAAGGTTAGTAAACTTTTACTTTGAGGAGAAAGGTAAATTGAACAAAATCTAATCTTGTTTTTATTTCTTTTTACAGGACATAGAAGATTATGAGGGCCTCCACTTGGACATCGTCTCCACACATGCAGGATAAACAAATTAAGGTTAGTAAACTTTTATTTTTAGGAGGAACGTAAATTGAACAAAATCTAATCTTGTTTTTATTTCTTTTTACAGGATATAGAAGATGATGAGGGCCTCCACCTGGACATTAAAGGGATAATAACTCTTCATATTAGACCTCTATTTCACAATAAAAACATTGTGAATAACCATAGAAATGTAATATATTCTGTTTTACCACAAAAACGGCAGTTATAGTTATTATTCTGATATCTGAGCTTTTCTTTAGACCACGTGACATCCATTGATGGCTATACTCTTTAAAAACCAAACATTTTAGAAAAAAACAGGGACTAACTTTGAATGTAAAAATGGATTCATTAACCATTGGTAAGCAGGCCCGTAGCCAGGGGGTGGGGGGGGGGGTCGGGGGGTTCGAAAGAACCACCCCTTTTGCTTGGAAAAGGTCCACTTTTAGTAAAATTTGATCTAGGTACACGAAGTTTTTATGGAAAAAGGTCCACTTTTTCAGAAAACGAACAGCCCTTTTGAAATTGCTGGCTACGGGCCTGGTAAGTATGAGAAAATTTTTGTTTACTCTGGGAAAATTCATTTTTTGGCCGAAAGGAAGAGTTATTATCCCTTTAACTACTCTCGGGATCAACAATTTAAGGTTAATAAATTTTATTTTTTGTGTTTTTAGAGGCATTTATCATAACATGCAAAACACCAAATATAATTTAAGGAATGCATCGAATAGTGTACCCAGTTCATATCCATGTAGAGAATAACAGAAACATTTTAGACCATGGTCTATATGAGAAATATGCAAGGTTAATTTCTCATGAGAAACATTGGTATTGCCTACAGTTATTATTGTCCACATTTCAGCCAGTCGTTTGGAATAAGTATTTATAAAATGTTTGCCTCTGATGACAGAGGAATTGTTTAGCATAGCATTTGAGAAAATCATAATTTAAGTCCTTTCCGTTACCCTTACTAATTCTAATCCTTTTCCTCCTGAAGAATGCTGGGTGCACACAGTCATTCCTCAAGGGAGGATCGCATGTTACTGCTTTTCCGATTTTCTCAAGTGTGGTTGAGCAATAACTTTACATGAGTACATTTTATTTTCTAAATCAAAAATTAGAAGTGGACAGTTGCTTGAGATTATACCAATGATCCAAACGATTTCAAAGCAAGCTTTCTTACTTGTTGTTCCATATTTTATGAGAGAGCAATAAAATGAAAGTATTGATGTTAAACTGTATATTTTTGTTATAACATTTGTTACAAAGGTGGGTCGTTTTCCTTAAAGAAGTTTTCCTTATTCATTAAAGAATTATTTGTTCCTGGGATGTTGAAAAAAATTAATCCAGAATGAAGTTTTTGAAGAGTATTAATTGCATATAAATAGACAATCTGCACCAATCTGCAATTTAACATTTGAAAATAAACAATAAATCGTGTTTCTCTTAATTCTGTATTCGATTTTTGTAATGTTTAATTAGAAATAAAGGTTAAAGTTTTCTGGTGTCATATTGTCTAATTTGTATTCATTGCTAGTAAAAGGCAAACAAAATTGTACTCCTCCC